AACAACAAAAAAAACACAAAGTCAAAGTTAAACAAAATCACAACTAGTAGCGGTTTTCCTCGGCACGAACTCCTTGAGCCAAAACTCAAGCTGAGAACTGAGTACCATGCCAGCAGCCTTGGCTACGCAGAATAATAAACAAGATGACCTTCCTCACCTTAGTCCAGTTTTGTTATGGTTTTTCAGTCTAGGGGCACATTAGGAATAAATCAGAACACCCAGCCCTCTGTCCATCTCCCATCTTTCCACTGTGAAAGGTTGTTTACTGCCATACATAAATGATTTATCTTCTTTTTTTTTTTTGGTACGGGGATTGAACTCGGGTCCTTGCGCTTGCAGGGCAGGCCACCGAACCGCTGAGCTAAATCCCCCACCCCATGACTTATCTTCTAAAGTCTAATGAATAAAGACTACCATCAACTTATCTGAGGCCAAGGATTTAGCTCAGTGGTGCCACCACTTGCCTTGCAAACCCAAAGTCTCAAGTTCAATCCCCAGTACAAAAACAAACAAACAAACAAAACTGTCATCAGTATCAGTAGATAAAATTTCTGTCAAACGCAAAGACAAAGAAAATGAGGCAATTACATGTAATGGAGTACTACTCTGCCCTGAAGATAGATAAACTTGAGCCATTTGTAGGAAAATAGGTGCACCTTGAGACCATAATGTTAAGTGAAATCAATCAGACACTTCCACCAACTGGCTCTCTGATGCCAATCTCTCTCCTGTGGCTACGGCTAGTCCAGCATCACTCAGACTTCTGTTTCAAAGTACCACCCTCCTACCCAAAGACAGGCTGCTGACAGGAAGTGTACATATTCAGAGTAGTCTTTGGAGCACAATTTATGATAGCAGAAGACTGACAAGAACACAAGCATCCACACTTCAGCTAGACCTGCTTGAAGGAAGGATGGTGGATCCAAATCTGAAGGGCTCCGTGGCTGTGCAGGAGGCGGCAGAGCACTCAGGCACCTTCTGAAAGGCCGTGTCCTTTCTTCTGGAACCCATTCCCCTGCCTGCCAGTCACGTTCCCAGCACTTAATTCCTCAGAGTAAATCAAGTCCTAGTTACACCTCACCCCACAAAGAATGGCTGCTATGAAGCAATCAACCAATAACAAGTGTTAGGGGGGTTGTGGGGAGAAAGGAATCCTTCTCCATTGTTGGTGGGAGAGCAGACTGGTGCAACCACTGTGGAAATCAATATGGAGCTACCTCAAAGGACTAGGATTAGAGGTCCCATCTGACCCAGCCATCCCTCTGCTGGGGATCTTTCCAAAAGAATTAAAAGAATCATATCACAGCAATATATGCTTACCCATGTTTATAGCAGCAGTTTGTAAAACTTGGAAACAGCCCATTTGCCCATCAGTTGGAGACTGGATAAAGAAGATATGGTCTTTCTATAAAACGGAATACTGCTCAGCCATAAAGAATGAGAAACCAGAGTCATTCATAGGAAAATGGATGCATTTTTGAGGCCATACTTTTTTTTTTCTTGGTACCAAGGAACAAATTAGGAACATAGTGCTTGCAAGGGAGGAGCCGAAATCACTGAGCTAAATCCCCAGCCCCAAGGCCATACTCTTAAATAAAATAAGATACACATGTGTAAATACCAAATCATTTCTCTGTTGTGAAAAAATAAAAGTGTAAATAAAATCCCAATTGTGTAACTGACAATGTGAAATAGGAAGAAAAGGGCTGAAGGGTAGGGGAAAGGAAATAAGAGAAGAGAAAAAATGTGAAAACAGGGAAAGATGGAAACAAAGTCTTTGTAAATAGGGAAGGGTGGAGGGGGTGAAGGGAGGGCAAGGGGTATGGGGAAAAATGAGAACCAAGATGCATCATGTAAAGGTACAAGATCCCATTGATGAACGTAACTGTGCTATACACTTAAAAAGTACCAATAAACTCAATGAGGAGGGACCAGGGACTTAGCTTAGTGGTTCTGCTGTCTGCCTCACAAGGGCAAGGACCCGAATTCGATACCCAGTACCAAAGGAGAAAAAAAAAAAAAAAAAAGAAGGACTACATATTTTCCCCCAGCAGCTGCACCCTGAATGGTATCTAAAGGAAATAAAGTGAAATGATATGGGAAAGGGAAAAAAAAAAAAATCCACAAGTTTTTGAGCACTGCTGCACAAGAACATGAATCTAACCAAAGAGACCGTGTATACATATTCATCCTATAGCTATATTTTGGTGTAAATGAATTAAAAGTACTAATTTCCTCTATAAGTGTTCCCACCGGTCTTCACATGTTTACCCAAGAATGTTCCTAAGAAAGAAAAACCCCTGACGCGTGTCCAGGAGGAGAGCTGACAGGAGTCTGGCCCTCCTCCACGCCCTTCCACAGCCGCGCCGTCTGCTCCTATCATCTCTCTCTAGTACTGAACTGCACAAAATCCAGAAGTTTCTAGGGATCAAGGAAACACTGAACACTGTGAACTTCTACTGTGCTTTGCGCCCCTCCCGCGGGCCTCACTTTAATATCAATAAAATGAAGGCCATGAGGAGACAGCCAGGTCCCTTGGGGTTCTGACCCAGCCCAACAGGAGCTGCCTCTGGGAGGCTTGGTTCTTCCTGCTGGCGGCTCCTTCTCCAAGCAGATCCCAGGGTCTCTCTAGCCGCCCTCCTGCCCCCTGCCCCGTGCATCCTGAACACTGTCCTGCTGTTCCCACAACGGCAGGGCAGAGCCCCCGGGAGAGCACAGCGGACCTGGCACTGAAGGCCGCAGCCCCCGGGACCTCGCTGCCGAAATCCTCCCTCTCACTCTGACCTCGAGCTCACCGCAACTGTGTCGCCCCAGACAACCAGGAATCGCTCCTTCAGTCCTCCCGCTTCTGCCGAGTAAAATGTTAACGTCCCTCACCCTCCTCTTCATTTCTACACCATCGAGTCTACTGTATGTCCTTATTATACTGCTTGTTGTCTTCTTCCCCTGAGCAGAATGCAAGCTTGATGGGGACGCTGTGTCCTGGCCACAGCACTATTCAAAGCCGGCGCCACCTTCTGGGGACACAGGCCCTGGGGCCTGGGCCGCTTCACACCTCTCTAGGATTTGAAAGCTTGCTCTCAGCCCCCAGCTCGTGCCTGTCACAGCCCTTGAAGTTGCCGCCACCTGCTGCCTTCACTTCCCACGTCCAGGCCTGCAATCACAGCCATCAAAGGTGCCACAGGAGAAGCGGGCCGGGCCTCCCCGGGTCTCTACAAGCACTGGAGGGTGCACAAGCCCGTCCGTTCCTCTGGAGGCCGCCCTTCTCTCGGCTCCCTGCACGCCTCCCTCCGCTGGTCGCTGCTGTGGTTACGAGCTCCAGGCAGGCTCAGCTTCACTTCTTACTCCACGCCCTCCTCGGAATCGCACTGCGTGTCCTGTCCCTCCCACCAGCCTGGGCGTGTGACGAGGAAAGTGAGGGATGATGAAGAGACTGAGCAGGTCCCTTTGGGCTCTGGGCTCAGCCCCTCTTGTCCAGGTCTATGGATGAACCCAGTTCGGGCTGGGCGTGGTGGTGCACACCTGCGATCCCAGCACACTGGGAGGCTTTAGCAAGAGGACTGTAAATTCAGGCCCAGCCTGGGCAACTTCAGAACTCGGCAAGATTCTGTCTCAAAACAAATAAAAAATAACAAAAGGGCTGCGGATGTAGTCAGCACAGAGGCCCAGGGCCCAATGCTCAGAATGGGGGGGTGACCACCCGGACACAGCACAGGGCACTGAATGACGGCCTCCTCCGTACCCATCCCATCCCACCCTTTATGTTTTAAGTCTGCCCGAGGCCAATCCTGCAATCTTGTCCACCGCAACTATCCAAAGCCAGGTGCTTGGCAGTTGTTTATTACTAACAAAAACACAACTGCTACAAGTCTTTGTAGCGACTCTTCCGGTTGTTTCTCTAAAGATGAGCAGAATAGCTATAGCAGAGTGTAGGAGACCCCGGTCAACAAAAAGTGGGCTGCCAGAAAAACCTTACAACCAACACGACGGTGCAAATCAGACTAAGAGGTCACACAGTTGGACTTCAGCCCCAACCACACACCCACCGGATCCCAGCGGCTAGGAAGACGGGCGTGGTGGCGCACACCTGTAATCCGAGCAGTCAGGGGGCTGAGACAGGAGGATCGCGGAGAGTTGAAGCAGCCTGCACTACACAGCAAGGCCCCGTCTTTAAATAAAGAAACCCTCGGGCCAGGGATTTATCCCAGAGGTGCCGCCACCTGCCTCGCCAGCGCGAGGTCTCGAGTTCGAACGCCGGTAAAGGGAGGGAGGTGCCCTCTAGGAAGGAAGAGAAACCCTCTAAACAGGAGGCAAGCCGAAATCCCTGTAGCTCAGCAGAGGTCACGCGGTGCGGTTTGAGGTCGGGAACTTGCCCTGCAGGGCGGCGCCACTCCGCGGACACCGGGGAGACCCGCGCCCACCTCGCAGTGCAGCAGCGGTCTCGAGTTCGAACGCCGGTAAAGGGAGGGAGGTGCCCTCTAGGAAGGAAGAGAAACCCTCTAAACAGGAGGCAAGCCGAAATCCCTGTAGCTCAGCAGAGGTCACGCGGTGCGGTTTGAGGTCGGGAACTTGCCCTGCAGGGCGGCGCCACTCCGCGGACACCGGGGAGACCCGCGCCCACCTCGCAGTGCAGCAGCGC